CAGCTCCTAGGAAATGGAAATTTTTTGTTGTTTAAATTACATATATACTTTTATCTCACTTTTTAGTAGAATTCATATATTACCTCAATTTTTTTTTTTGTCAAATATGGCCTCAAAACCAATCAAAATCACTGTTGACCTTTTCAATAAAAAGTAAGTTTGAACAAAGCTGTAGGTACAGAATTCATCAGCTTTTATTATATTTCTGATGTTTAGATAGTTTAGGGAGAAATTACTAAGAAGATAGTGAAGTATTGAATAAGTTCTCTGCTGTCAAAGGTGATTAAAAACTCTTGGCTACACATTTACACTCAGCTCTGTGCTGTCCAGCAAGAAAGGTGGAAAATTCTGTTAAAAAAAGTAACATTGTTCCAAGCAAAGAACATTGTTGTTGAACATCCTGAACCTGGACTGTGGATTTCCCACTCCCATTTTAGAAGAATAGTGATGATAAATATTATTTCCTTGAAGAAGGAAAATCTGGGATTCAGAGCTTCTAGAAAGCTGTTTTCTCAAAAGCTGGTTCTGATTCAAAAAAAGCCCAAACAATCAGGCCACCATAATTTTTATTGTTGGCAAGAGTCAGAGCCATGACACCTGTAATAAGAAAGGTCTGTATGTGATATTGGGCAGTGCCTTATAAATCATGCGGTTTGCCACTTACCTGTCAGAGGAGAAAATCCTGCATGTGAATTTAGACCCACACAAGTGGTTCCTGGATCCAGGGGCTTATGGATCACACCTTTTGATCCACCTTCAACACCTTGCCAATATTCTGCCCTCCTAGTGCTCTTCTCTTGGGAAAACACATCTTTATGGATTTGACAAGAGAAGTTCAGAAGTCTGCTTTTTAATGAAGAAAGTGCAGCAGTAAACTGCCAATGCAGTTCGTTCTTCTATGAATTTAGTATATCGTATTAAAAGGAATGTCAGCTAATGTTTTCAAAATGGGATATTTCTACTTACGATGCTTTAAATTAAATTTAGATGTGTGACTAAAGCTAGACTGCCTTTCAAGAGAACTTGGCAAACCAGTTCTCAACTGAAAGTTTCCACCTTGTACTGGGTCTGGCTGGGATAGAGTTAACTTTCTTCATGGCAGCCTGGATAATGCTGTGTGTTTTGGATTTGTGGCTAAAACAGCTTTGATAACACACCAATGTTTGGGCTGTTGCTGAACAGTGCCTGAACAGTGTCAAGGCTTTCTCTTTTTCTCATTCTGCCTCCTCAGAGAATAGGCTGGGGATGGGCAGGTGATTGGGAGGAGACACAGTTTGGACAGCCATTCTGAGCTGGATAGATGGATATGCCAGACTGTATAATGTCATGTTCAGCAATAAAAACTGGGGTAGAGGAAGAAGGGGGGTTTTGGCTTCTGAGGTGGCCTTTGTTTGGAGACTGGCTGGGCATCAGTCTGCATGTGAGAAGTGGTGAGCTATTCCCTTCACTGTTTAGGGTTTTTTCTTTTTCTTTCTTTCATCTATTAAACTGTTTTTATCCTGACCAACAAGTTTTCTTTCTTTTGTTCTTCCTGTTTCCCCCCCCTCACCCTGCTGGTGTTGGTGGTGAGTGAGCAGCCATGTGAGTGCTTGGATACTGGTGGGGGACAACCCACCACCCATCTATATGCTAGTTATTAACTTCTGCGCTAGATTGAGAAGGAAGCAGTCATTTCTATTTATAGCCCATCTAATTAAGGAAATGCTTTATCAGCAGCCTCTGATTAAATCACCTCTACCCAGACAATAAGTAAGGCAGTTACAGGGTGTCCCCCTCTCCTGTTTGCAGTCAGTATTCTGTAAGGGTTTGGGTGTAAAGGATGCTACAGTCAGCTTCAGAAGGGTGCTACGTGTCATCTACTACCTACCCACTCAGCATGAATTATTGCCGCTGTTATTACAGCCCCCAGTACAGGGGACAATCTTGTTTATGGTAAGGCACAGTCCTAGAATTTTCTTTTATGAAGAACTGAAAGTTTTACATGCACTTGTCTGGTGTCACGCAGTACTTGCAATTGTTTTTACTTAATTTAGGTAATCCTGTAATAAAGATAATATTTTAATATGTAATATAAAATAATAATCCTATTATACAGACACTTTTTAGAGACCTAGCAGTAAAAGGAGAGTGAATTCTGACTTTATTTAAAACATTAGTGTTGTTTCTGCTAACATTTTTGATATATCCATGTAGACAAAGCCCTAGAAAAAAAAAAAGTAATAAAAACCAGCCTTTTAACTAAAGCATTTATCAGTACACTTGCTTTTCAGAAAATATCTATAAAGTTGTCCAGTTCTAAATTAGACTTCTTGTAGAAATCTAAAGCATGTATGAATTTCACGTTATCTTCAGTATATGTTGACCTTATGGAACTCTTAAAGATCTAAGAATTAACATAGTGTGTTGTTTAAGAGCACCAGTAAACTGTTAGCATTGGTTTCAGAAGTTTTCCAATAATGTTATCTTTTCAGAAATTACATGAATGAAGTGCCATGTTACCATTTAGTAAATTTAATCTAAAATTAAGTAATTTGTTGATTATGTCACATGAACTAGGATGTATCAGTGCTATTTTATTACATTAGGGTAGTTATAAATATACGTAAGATAACATCTCTGTTGAGCTTCAGTGTTAACTAATTCATACAGAAAACTAGAAGTATGTTTCTAAAGATCTATCTCTAAAACCACTTGAGTCATTGTTATTGAAGACAACGATAGGGTTTTTTTTCTCACGTAACTAATTAGCTTAATGACTAGTTGACATTATTTTAAAATCCTAAAATGGAAAATATTTTTCCTAAATTAAATATGTAATTGTTTTGAGAATAATCTTGAATGTTCACTTTGTCTTGAAATCTAAAATGTTATGTCCTCTTTCTTCCCCTGGATGGATATATCAATAGTATATCGAGTTACTAGTGTCTCGTTCTGCTAATCCAGTGGTCTCATTAGCAAAAGAACCTTAATGTTTGGTTTGCTTTAGATTAGGAATGCTGTTTTAGTTCATCTGTTGGAAGAGAATTGAAATAATAGTTGGTCAAGCTTGTTCCAAAGATTTCTCTTTAAAGAAAACAGTAATTAGCCGAAATCAAGACATATGGACTGCTTATTGTATTTGGTAGATTTACTTGTCTGAGAATTTTCAGATTCATATCTTAGTTTGTCCTGATACATAAAAGGCATACCCTGATGTGATACCCAAAAGAAAAAAAAAGAAGAGCAAATGTGTAGCTTTTGTCAACTTTTTTTTTTTCCCCCTTCATAAGAGACTTTCATTAATGGCTCAAGCAATGGTTTCTAATTCTGAAGACAAATTTTCTTGTGAGCCAAACTGTTCTCAAACTATGTTTTCTTTTAAAGTTTTTCTCTCTATTTATTTATTTATTTACTTATTGTTCTGTATGGGAAAGTTTTTTTGTAAATCATCCACTTCTGGACACAATGAACACAAAGCATCATAATGCATGGAAGGATGGCACATATTAGAGTGTGGATGTTACTGAAGCAAGCAAACCCTATTTGCTATGAATGCAGAATGACACCTGAATGTTTTTACAAGATTTTTTCAGATCTGAGTAAGTAAGATATAGGTGACTGAGTAAATAATCTTCAATCTCTTGCTAAATTGAAATACATCCACAGAGAAAGCAAAATGCTAGGAAAACTGTATTTCATCACTTTTTGTATTGAGATAATTCCTTCTGCAAATGTGTTCATTGTACCAAAACATCACTGTATTCACTGTGCCCCTACAGACCTTGCTAGCTCTGGTTAAGTGGATTTTCTGCATGAGTATATAGTAAGTATGTAAGTAACAGGGAACATATGAAGAAATGAAATAAGAAAAAGCAAATCCCTCGCCATGAGAGAAAATCATTTGCTCATGGCATATTGCTCCTGAAGAGGCTTGTAGCCAGTGATGGCTTGATGGACTTTTGATTGAGTGATCTCACTTTACAAAGTAAGATAAAAAAGGAAGGATGGGACGCCGGAATGTGTAATCACTATACTTCAAGATAGCTTTTCCAGATATAAAGTTAGGTAGACACAGAGTCTAGACAGCTGAAGCCCTTTGAAAAGTTCTTGCTCCAAAAATAACACATTTTATAAATCAGGTGTGAAAAAGTCATTTAAAGGAGCAGAAATAAGGTGTCTTGAGTGCCTTCCAGAATTTTTTTTTTCCTCTTCTTCAAAGGAAAACTCATTTTTATAAAGTTCTACTTGTTGTTATGTGTTTTGTTTTGAAAATACTGTAGTTTGTTTAATGCTAAATTATTAATTCTTTTCAGTTTTAACTTGGTTTAATGATTATAACAATGACATGTAAACACTCAAGTCACTTGATTTTAGCAATCTTCTTTTTTTTTTTACATGAAAGGTAAGTATTGTGTAGGAAATGTGTAAAATGCTACCTGTTGTGATTTTCTTAGAGTTACTGAAATACATGATAAAATATCAGTTCGTCAAGGTATACACAGATATAATCCTTTTAAAGCAAAATAGGATTTATAATTCAAAAGTGTGAGGAAATACCTTTGCATGTGTATATATATAGAAATATTTTAATGTCATTCTGAGATACGCTTTTAAAATGGGAATATATTTAATTCGTAGATGATACTTTATTTTATTTCACATTGTTTTGAGGAAGTGAAGATCAGTGTATAGGCAGAAAGGCAAGTTGTTAAATGGCAGGCTTCTCAGGGATTGAGAGTATTGTTTTTTGTAGGCTGAGTTTTACTGTATTGTTCTCACTATTCATAAATATGTTCTGCAAATATTGCAGTTAGTTATTAGCTGTCATCTTTATTGCATTTTAAATATATTTACTACATTTTAAAAATATTGAATTACAGAGCATATCAACAAATAACTAAATATTGAATCTGAGACATCTGATTTTTTTTTTTTAAGTCTTTCCTTTTCCTGACTGTATTGCCTGAAGTATTATCCATCAGCTGGTTTATGTGAGGTCACATTCATGCACTCCATTGCAGGTCAGTTCCTCCTAGAAGAATCCCGCCTGATAGAAGCAGCTGAGATGGCAAAAAAAGCAGCTGAACTTGATAATACAGAATTTGATGTTGTTTTCAATGCAGCCCATATGCTCAGGTTAGTGCTTTTACATCTGCCTTACTTGATTTTCCTCCCTTCTTTTGGAGGAAAAAAAGTCTTTACAACCTTTACTTACACAGGGTTCTTTTTAAAGCCCAGCAACTCTTTTGAATAATTCAGTATTGCTAATAAGATAAAAAGAATTGGAGTGAAACTGTTGCAGGATTTAGTGTTTTCTATTTCTAATTTGCTATGCATTATCTCATAGTTTCTTACCTTTAAAAATTCCATCATTCACAAGAAGATAATCCTTTTTGTTTGCATACAAGAACAAGAGTTTCTTTTGTGAAGAACCTTCTGCAGGATTTCCTTTCACCTGTTTTTTAAAAATGAAGGACACATAGCAACTGAAAATAATAGACTGTATTTCTGATATGGTTGTAACTAGAAAATACTGAAAATATCACATTTTATGTTAATATCAGTAGGGAACACTACGATAATTAGAAATTTAAATATTCCCAGGGTAATGATGACTTTGAGACTCATGGGAACTCTTGGTGATATTATCAGAATCTGTGGTTTTAAATGTAGTCTTATATTTAATTCTGTTCTCCTATCTGAAATACAATAAAATTTTAGACTTCTTTTTTTTCCTTTTAAAGCTGTCAGACCTGGATATTCAGTAATATTAAGCTTCCGCCTGAACATTATCATTAAACTCACGTTATAGTAGTAGGTATCCTCCATGCTTATTTCTAGGATAACTATCTAATTATTGTCTGTTGTCTGCTTAACAGCTAAGAGAATACTTGATTTCATTTAGATTATACCTATGCCTAGAAAGTGCATAAAAAAGAAAATTAAAAATATACTTCATTAGCATAAAACAGATCATTTCTCTGATGAAGATATTTCACTTGGCTATTTATATTTTTAACATTTAGTATACAAAATGAAAGGAAGAGAAAATGGTATTAAAGAAAAGGTAACATCAGCTTCATGCAGGTGGCTTGTGTTTCAGAATGAAGCTTTCTTTACCAGGATTTTGAAATAAGCCCCAAAACATTCCCTTTGAGAAATAACTCTGATGTTTGTAGATTAGAAAGGAAACCAAGACAGATGACTCACTGGTAAACCACAGTCTGACCTGCAACAGGTGTATGAACTATTTTAAGGATCTTTCACTTCCCTCTGATTATTTTCTGAACAATATGTCTCAAGGTAGAATTCAGTAGTTTGAAACATTTAGAGTAATGAAACAAATTCACACACAGAAGAATAGCAAGTTAGGCATGAAAGTTGAATCCAGAATGGTGCAGAGTATGTCTGACTCCTGAATTCAGTGAGTGTGTTGTGGAAGATGGTCTAATGGTGGAACTGTGGGTATTTTCAAAAGTGGTGGCTGTGGAGGTTTGAACTCAGCCAGCAACCAGACACCACATGGCCAGCCATTCATCTCTCCATCGCCCCTCTGGTAAAACAGGGGAGTGACAAGAGAAGAGAATTCGTGGGTTGAGTAAAATGAAAGAATTTACTAAATATAACAAGAGAACAACAGTAACAATAGTGAGTTCAAAACAGAAAACGGGTAAAATGCAGCAGTGGCTTACCAAACGCAGTGACCACCCCCCCCCACCCCCAGCAACAACACCGCCCAATGAGCAGACGCCCTGTGCAAGCTCCCAGCAAAAAGCTGAGAGAGCAAGAGCTCCCTGCCCCCCTGGGCATAACATCCCATGGTATGAAATACTCCAATGAAAACTAACTCCATCCTGGTCGAAACCAGAACACTTTCCAACCCTTATTCCATACCATTGACATTATGCTCATGTTTCCAAACACATCTTAAAGAATCACCACCCTTTTTTTTTTTTTTTTCCCCAAGTCTCAGAGTTATCATTGCTTTAATCTATGGGCCAACCATCCACAATGTTTGCTGACTGCACTTGGTCCATAACTTCGGGTTCCATCTGTTAAAACATTCTATACAGATGTGGAATGAGGCAGAGTTGGCTCAGTCGGTGGAGCAGGAGGCTTTGGATGTGGCACAGGGATGCTGCAAGGAACTAAATGCAATATCAGGGTTATTGACAGTCTGGTTCATTGGCTACTCTCAGCTAAAATCAAATCTCCCTGAGGTACACATTGGACCTCTCCATCCTTCTGCATCACCCACCAAGTGCACCCAGGTCCTTGGGCAAAAGTAATCCCACGCATGGGTTTACCTTTACCCAATGCAGGGGTAACCCAGACTGCCTTCCCCAACATATTCCTAATGTGCACTACGGGGGCTTTATCCCCATCCACGGTATGTAGGAGGTTTGATTGGGCAGGGCCAGCTGGCTTGGCAGATCCTCTGGTATTGACTAACCAGGTGGCTTTTGCTAAATGCACGTCCCAGTGATTGAAAGTTCCACCACCCATTGCTCTCAGTGTAGTTTTCAGCAATCCGTTGTATCGCTCAGTTTTCCCAGAGGCTGGTGCATGGTAGGGAATGTGATATATCCACTCACTGCCATGTTCTTTGGCCCAGGCATCTATGAGGTTGTTTTGGAAATGTGTCCCATTATCTGACTCAATCCTTTCTGGCGTGCCATGCCGCCATAAGACTTTCTCCTCAAGGCCTAAAATGGTGTTCTGGGCAGTGGCATGGGGCACGGCATGAGTTTCCAACCAACCAGTGGCTGCTTCCATCATTGTAACACAATGTACACATAGCGTTTGCCTTGCCGAGTCTGTGGGAGTGTGATATAATCAATCTGCCAGGCCTCCACATATTTATACTTTAACCATTGTCCTCCATACCAAACGGGCTTTAACCATTTGGCTTTCTTGATTGTAGCACATGTCTCACATTCATGGGTTACCTGTGAGATAACATCCATGGTTAAGTCCACCCCTCGGTCACAAGCCCATCTATATGTTGCATCTCTTCCCTGATGGCCTGAGGAGTCATGGGCCCAGTGAGCCAGAAATTGTTCACCCTTATATTGCCTGTCCAGATCCACTTGAGACACCTGAATCTTGGCAGCCTGATCTGCCTGTTGGTTGTTCTGATGTTCTTCAGTGGCCCGGCTCTTGGGTACACGAGCGTCTACATGGGGTACTTTCACAGACAGATTCTCTACTCAAGCAGCAATATCTTGCCATAATGCAGCAGCCCAGATGGGTTTGCCTCTGTGCTGCCAGTTGCTCCGTTTCCACTGCTGTAACCCCCCACAGTGCATTTGCCACCATCCATGAGTCAGTACAGAGGAAGAGCACCGGCCACTTTTCTCACTCAGCGATATCCAAGGCCAGCTGGACGGCTTTCACCTCTGTGAACTGCCTCGATTCACCTTCTCCTTCAGCAGCTTCAGAAATCCGTCGTGTGGGGCTCCACACAGCTGCTTTCCACCTTCTATGTTTTCCCACAATGCGACAGGACCTGTCAGTAAACAGGTCATATCGCTCCTCATTATCCGGTAACTCAGTATATGATGGGGCCTCTTCAGTACGAGCTACCTCTTTCTCTGGCTCCATTCCTGCATCTTTGTTTTCTGGCCAATTTGTGATCACTTCCAATATTCCCGGAGGGCTGGGGCTCCCTATTTGAGCCCGTTGTGTGATTAATGCCACCCATTTACTCCATGTGACATCAGTTGCATGGTGTGTAGAGGGGACATTCCCTTTGAACACTCAGCCCAGCACTGGCAATCGGGGAGCCAGGAGGAGCTGTGCTTCAGTCCCCATCACCTCTGAAGGAGCTCGGAACCTTCGTATGCTGCCAGTATCTCCTTTTCAGTTGGAGTGTAGCCATCTTCCAATCCTCTGTATCCCAAACTCCACAACCCCAGGGGTCGACCCTGAGTCTCCCCTGATACTCTTTGCCAGAGGCTCCCAGTACGGCCATTCTTCCCGGCTGCAGTGTAGAGCACATTTTTAACACCTTGCCCTGTCCGAACTGGACCAAGGGCTACTGCATGAACTATTTCCTGATTAATTTGTTCAAAAGCCTGTTGCTGCTCCGGGCCCAATACAAAATCATTGTTTTTCTGGGTCACTTGATAGAGACGGTTTACAATCTGACTGTAATTTGGAATGAGCAGTCTCCAGAAACCCACAACACCCAAGAAAGCTCGTGTTTCCTTTCTGTTAGTTGGTGGGGACATAGCTGTTATTTTATTAATCACCTCCATTGGAATCTAACGACATCCATCTTGACATTTTACTCCTAAAAATTGGCTCTCAGAAGGATATAGATTATTCTCTCCCCTTTCTCAAAAACTTCTGCTGTATTACCCCATATAATGATGTCGTCAATGTACTGTAAATGTCCTGGGGCTTCACCTTGTTCCAGTGCAGTCTGGATCCGTCCATGGCAAATGGTGGGGCTGTGTTTCCACCCCTGGGGCAACCAGTCTCAGTTGTATTGGACACCCCTCCAGGTAAAATCAAACTGTGTCCTGCATTCTGGTACCAGAGGGATGGAGAAAAATGCTCTAGCAATATCAGTGTCCACTAGAGCCTTATACTGCTGGGGGTCAGACATGCCAGGCCATTGAATCCACACAGTCCAGTAAACTCAGTTGTCCCTGTCGTCCACCTGGCTGGAGGCAGGGCCCCTCTAATGCTGGTCATAATACTCGCTAACAACAAATGGGTTAGTGTGGTGTGCACGGGTTTCAGCCTCATCTTGATTACTGGAAACCAGAGCACCATTTTTTCTGAAAGGATGATGTTCTGTATTTGTTCTTCCTTCCAGCTCACATACCGCTTTTCTAGGGGGTAGGTAGGTTTTCCATCCCATTTCTTCATGTCTTCTCCATGGTCACACAGGCAATGCCACAGCTTCCCCTGTGGTGTGTACCTGTTCTCTTGAGTAGAGAAACGATTGCTTCTAATAGCCAAGATTCTGGTCCATGCAGGTGGGGAGTAGGACATATTCTCCGTAAGTTGCTGGACATCTTGAGATAATTGTTTCACAGCCGCAATGATGGGGCAAGAGACGCTTTCTTCATACTGTTGTAGTCAGTGAACCAGTTCATTCACCGTTGGTCTCTCTTCATCTGTCC